CTTTCCATTCTGGTAGATCAGAAAGGTTTAATCCATGGTTTTATCCTTCCAAATCCCCCTCAATTCCATTTATCAGGGGTTGTGTGGTGTTGTTGTCTCCTGACCTGTTCTGCGGGACTCAGCCATTTTTAAAACACTGAGGGGAGTAACGCCACCACAACCTGACTTTCCTTGAGTTTATAGATATATTTGGCATTTCTGCTATGTTTCTCTCACTGTACACTGGTCAGCTGAATATAGGTCAGCTTACTAAAACATTAACCTTGGCTGTTTAACCCTTTTCACTTTCCCCACGACTGGCACTGAGGGATATCCGACCTATAACCTTGGAGTTTTGTACTGTTGATTTGACGATGTCTCCTGTGTTTCCCTCTCGTTAGCACGGGTACAGGTGATATGATGGTGGTCAGATATGATGCTACTGTCAACAGATGAACGTCAGTAAAGATAAAGAATTTCACTTCACTATTTTGTACGTCTGGCATAGGGGCTGTATGGATGCCGGTCAGCCATTTTTAAAAATGCCAATTCTTCCCTCGTTTGGCACTGAAAAAAAAGTCCTACAGACCTGTCATTTCCTTGGAGATTTAGTTGATCAGGTTTTCTGCCATGTTGTCTTCCCGTTAAAACACTGGTGCAGTTGATATGTAGATCAGTTATTTCACTGTAGTGGGAAAACGTCTCATGTCTGGTTCACGTCTGGGAACAGCAGGTCTGGTACTTGAAAAGCCGGGCCCTCTTTTGTCATATTTAGTCCATTTCGTTGTCTTCACCGTCAGTTTTTATGTCACTATAGGTTCCTTTGCATGTTGTTGCAGCAGTACTTGCAAATTTGGCCATCACTGGAGTTTTGTATAGGCCCAGGGGACGGGAAGATATAGGGGCAGCCTTGTTTCTGCTTGCTGCGGCTGCAGGGACAGTGGTAGTGATGGGAGGGTGGTAGTGATGGGGGTAGAGGGTGGTAGTGGTTGTGATGGTGGTAGAGGGTGGTAGTGATGGTGGCAGAGGGGGGTAGTGATGGTGGTAGAGGGCAGTAGTGATGGTGGTGTGGCAGAGGGTGGTAGGATGGTGGTAGAGGGTGGTAGTGATGGTGGTAAGGGCATAGTGATGGTGGTTTGAGGGTGGGGAGTGATGGTAGTGATGGTGGTATGATGGTGGAGAGGGTGGTAGTGATGGTGGTAGAGGGTGGTAGTGATGGTGGTAGAGGGTGGTAGTGATGGTGGTAGAGGGTGGTAGTGATGGTGGTAGTGATGGTGGGAGAGGGTGGTTTGTGATGGTGGTAGAGGTGGTAGTGATGGTAGAGGGTGGTAGTGATGGTGGTAGAGGGTGGTAGTGATGGTGGTAGAGGGTGGTAGGATGGTGGTAGAGGGTGGTAGTGAGGGTTTGGGAGTGATGGTGGTAGAGGGTGGTAGTGATGGTCGTAGTGATGGTGGTAGAGGGTGGTAGTGATGGTGGTAGAGGGTGGTAGTGATGGTGGTAGAGGGTGGTAGTGATGGTGGTAAGGGCAGTAGTGATGGTGGTGTGGCAGAGGGGAGTAGTGATGGTGGTAGAGGGTGGGAGTGATGGTGGTAGTGATGGTGGTAGAGGGGGGTAGTGATGGTGGTAGAGGGGAGTAGTGATGGTGGTAGTGGGTGTGATGGTGGTAGAGGGTGGTATGATGGTGGGAGTGATGGTGGTAGAGGGTGGTAGTGATGGTGGTAGAGGGTGGGAGTGATGGTGGTAGAGGGTGGAAATGATGGTGGTAGAGGGTGGTAGTGATGGTGGTAGAGGGTGGTAGTGATGGTGGTAGAGGGTGGTAGTGGGTGTGATGGTGGTAGAAGGTGGTAGTGATGGTGGTAGTGATGGTGGTAGTGATGGTGGTAGAGGGCGGTAGTGATGGTGGTAGAGGGTGGTAGTGATGGTGGTAGAGATAACCTCTCCTCCCTCTCCCCTCCTCACATCTTCCATACACCAACAAGAGTCTTCAGTAAAGATGAAAGTGATATTAAATGTTCATTTATCCATTTCATTAGTCCTTTATATTTATTTCTCATTGTTTTCTGTATGTAAAATTCTAGTTATTCTCTTTAACCCTTTCAGGGTCCGTCCCGTAGATCTACGGCTTTATGGTGAGTGTCCAAACCGTAGATCTACGCCATGAGCTCAGCTCACTCTGATAAACTGTGAGTGGTACATTTGGGCCTAGATATGAGAGAATACATCTATGTGGTATGTGTGCACCACATAAAACAGATCCTGCAGCACACTGTGTATAATGAGAGAAAAAAACTGAAATCATGATTTTTTGATTAAAACAGCAACTTTGCAGTGTTTTTTCGTATGTTTTTTATAGTTGTATTTGCGATTTCTTGGTCTCATTTGATAGAATGAAGACATATTACAGAAATAGAGATGATTTTGATTTGGTTTTAGCACTGGAAATGGCTTGAAACTGAGCTCAAAGTAGTCGAAATGTTAAATTTTTGCCGATATTCAAAAGTAAACAAACGACCTCACACGTCTAATACACGTCAGCTGGTGGGTCTAATATACATTCACAAATATGGTGATGATATTTATACAATTATTACAGTATTGCATAGCAGTAAATCTTCTATTTTTTGGTGTGAATAAAAATTCATTATGTGAATAAAAAATCAAAATGGAATTTATTTGTAAAGCCTCAAAACATGACTAAATGAACAGAGGAAATGTTAGTTTAGTGCCAGGAATGCCTACATTTTTTTATTCTGGACCCTATTTTGAAATTGGAATATTTTGAACTTTGTGTTTTAAAATTTGGGCCAAATTAAAAAATTTCCGATCACTTTATTTTGTAGTTGAAACAGTTGACTTGGCGATTTCTTGTGCTCAATCGATAGAATAGAAGTAATACTATGAAATAGCTAAGAATTTGGTTGAAATTTGGGAAAAAATGTAATTGGCCTAAAATGGGAGTCAAAGTCGGCAAAATCGCCGATTCGTAAATATCGCTGACACATCAAAATTCGCGAGAGCATAATTTCGTCAATTTTCCACCAAATTTCGTACTTTTTGTTTTATTACCTTCACAAAAAGATTCTCTACGATTTCATAAGAAAAAATAACAAATTTTTTTTTTGAAAATTCTTGGACACTGGTGCGTGACTCCAGATTTGGGCCTTGGACCCTGAAAGGGTTAAAATATATTTTTTGTTAATATTTTTGGGTGTGTGGAATGGAATAATTGGATTTACATTATTTCTTATGAGAATTATTGCTTCAATATTCGTTGAATTTGGTTTTTGTCAGACTTTCTGGAACGAATTCATAAAGAAAACCGAGGTTCCACTGTACTAGAAAAATAGCTAATAATTTGATCAAATTGAGTAATGGAATTGGCTTAAAATAAGACTCAAAATGGGTTGAATTGCCAATGCATAAACTACATCCAGGTTAATGGAGTAAAATCTGAATGGAGACCAGTCATGCCTGGGTGTTCTGCAAATATCAGATTTAGGCCTCTTAGTGACATACCTGGAGAGGGTTTCAGGGATCAACGCCCCCACAGCCCGGTCTGGGACCAGGCTTCGTGGTGGATCAGGGCCTGATCAACTAGTCTGTTACTCTTGGCCACATGCGAACCGACATACGAACTACACCCTGGCTGGTCAGGCACTTACATGGTTAAATTTGCTGAAGACATAAAAATAGGCAAAACAATAAATTCAGAAGGCAATACCATTGAACATCATGAAGTCTTAGAGAGCTAATGTCATGGTCTAAAAAATGGTAGATGCATTTCAATGTAGATAATGCAAAGTCCTAATTCTTGGGAATGTAAATAACCCTGGCACTTATTAATTGAATTATGTAGAACTTGATCATATGAAATGTGAAAAGGACTGGGGAATCATAGTGAGAAGTCTGAAGCCAAGACATCAGCACCTCATTCTGCATAATAAAGCTAACAGATTATTTGGAGTTATAATAAGAAGTGTAAGTAAGAATTCTTCCTACATGAGCCACGTGTGTGGTAAGAGGCGACTAAAATGCCGTGAGCAAGGTGCTAGTAACCCCTTCTCCTGTATATATTACTAAATTTAAAAAGAAAAACTTTGTTTTTTCTTTTGAAGATATTGTGTTAACCTGGTGGTGGTGACCTAAAAAGAAGAAGAACTTTGGTGTTTCTTTTTAGGTCACTCTGCCTCAGTGGGATACAGCCAGTTCATTGAAAAAAAAAAAAAGAAGTGTAAGTCATAAAACTCCAGTGGCTAACATGTCTGTCTGGAATTTTATGACTCTTACTGCAGGTTCTATCCCCGCCCGTGGTATGGTTTGCAATTGTGTCATTGCGATTTTCGTGAGCTAGAGCTAGTCATGGCCACGCTGGCGAGAGATTCGTCTGTAAAAACTTGCATTTATGGTCACACTGGTGCCTATGCTATATACCTAGTTGGATGAATCTTGTTGTAGCTAGCTGGCCCAGTGGCTAGCACGTCGATCTGGAGTTTTATGACTCTCTGATCACGGGTTCTATCCCCACCCATGGTATGATTTATCGACAAGTCTTGCAGTGGGTAAAGGAAACTAGTAATGTTGAAGTAAGACACATGTACAACACTACGTATCTTTATTGTCAAAATGTTTCACCTGCACAAAAGGTGAAACATTTCACTGTTACTTGGAATTTGTTGCCATTCATCAGTTGGAATTTTATTACCACTGAACATTATTATTTTTCTTTGTTTGCTGGAAGACTTTGTTGATATATGTTTGTAATTTTTCTGTCTTCTACTGTATCCATGATTTAAGACCAGTCAACCTGCTACCAGCAGATGTCAGAATTCTTGGATATTAATCAAGCCGTGATGGTTATGTGGGCCAGTGAGTCACCAACCTCAACAGCCTAGTTGAACAGATGATCAACAGGCAAGCCTGGCACCAGACTTGGCTCTGAAGGTAGAAGAACTTTTAAAGTAGGTTGCATGTATCAACTGGTTGTATATTAGTGTAATCTTGTTCTATTTCCTCATGAATAGATGTTATCATTGTAGTTGTGGAGCCGGGTGAGAGAGCCTTGGGAGGGAAGCGTAAGCTACAGCAGCGCGGGGAGCCGGCCAGCAAGCGGGTGAAGGTGCCGGCGTACTTCCTGCCGGACGTAGCTCAGTGCATCGCTATGAGTGACATGAAGTTACCTCTCACACATCTCTCTCTTAAGGTCAGTCAGTATCTCCAGCAGTTAACTGCTGCTTAGAAGACTGTTTTAATATATACCTTATAGCAAGTTCGTTGTTAGTGTTTCTAATTAGTGACTGTGTTAATATTGTTTTGTTTTGCTTGTTATCAAGTAAAATTTTTGTTTTTGTAAAGCATAGGAATTCATGGACAACTTTCTTAATATACTTACAGTGTTTCACATTCCCAAGTCTTCATAAGATAGGGTATTCAAATTCAAATTTTTATTTCTTTTTGTGGTACAAAAATAATGTAGTTTACATGTAATAAAAGATTGTTAGACACAAAAGAAAGCCACTGGTATGCAGTACATTTTGGGCAAACTAATCTTAATAGTTAATGACTATCTAAGAATTAGACATAGATATAGTTCAGTTTTTGTCATGTTTGAGAGTGGAGGGATTATTGGTAGAGGACTTTTTCTCTCCCTTTCCCTACTTGTTTGTCTCAACTTTGCAGATAGTATGGGCAATGTGTTGTACCGGTGAGCTGAACTCTTGCTCAGAATTAATGTTGTGTTATTGTTTATGTTGAACAGCTTCGTGAGAGGAACGTGTTCAACACTGGAGAACAAGTGGAGGAAGGAGGTATGGGTGTTCTCTTGAGACTGATAGATCTACCAACCACCGAGGGACTATCTCCAGACACCATTTTCACTCTGAGGAAGCACCTCCTCTCAGCGTCAATCCGCATTCAAGCCGCCGTTGCTTGGGTACGTACCCTCGCCCGCCTCTGCTGTTTTCCCTCCCACCCAGCTAATATCTTTGATATACGTACTACCAGCTGTTGCTACTGGTGACCCACTGACCCACATATCCAATCAACATTAACCACATATCCAATCAATATTAGCCACATTTACAATCAACTTTCTTCTTTCTTTCAACACACCAGCCATATCCCACCAAGGCAGGGTGGCCCAAAAAGAAAAACGAAAGTTTCTCTTTTAAATTTAGTAATTTATACGGGAGAAGGGGTTACTACCCCCTTGCTCCCGGCATTTTAGTCGCCTCTTACAACACGCATGGCTTGCGGAGGGAGAATTCTGGTCCACTTCCCCATGGACAATTTACAGTCAACGTTATCATTAATATCCAGTCAACATTAACCACATATCCAGTCAACATTAACCACATATCCAATCAACATTAACCACATATCCAATCAATATTAGCCACATTTACAATCAACATTAACCACATATCCAATCAACATTAACCACATATCCAATCAACATTAATCACATATCCAATCAACATTAACCACATATCCAATCAACATTAACCACATATCCAATCAATATTAGCCACATATCCAATTAACATTAACCACAGTTACACTCAACATTAACCACATATCCAGTCAACATTACCCACATATCCAGTCAACATTACCCACATATCCAATCAACATTAATCACATATCCAGTCAACATTAACCACATATCCAGTCAACATTAACCACATATCCAGTCAACATTAACCACATATCCAGTCAACATTAGCCACATATCCAGTCAACATTAACCACATATCTAGTCAACATTAACCACATATCCAGTCAACATTAGCCACATATCCAGTCAACATTAACCACATATCCAGTCAACATTAGCCACATATCCAGTCAACATTAACCACATATCCAGTCAACATTAGCCACATATCCAGTCAACATTAACCACATATCCAGTCAACATTAACCACATATCCAGTCAACATTACATAGTTGATAGTTGACTAATAAAAAGTAATAGATAATTGAATGAGAGATTTACATTATTTCTGAAAGCCTTTTGGTTTCCACATAAGACTTAATGTAAACAAACTTGCCTCAACATCATCTTCACAGGTGTGACAACAAATATCCTGCTGTTGTATTTGCTAATACAGCCTCTCCTCACTTGGCGACAGAGTTCCGTTTCTGAGACCACGTCATTAAACGAATTCGTCGCTAAGCGAGGAGCATGCTATAATGGTAGTGAGTTTCTGTCGGCCATCTTTGATATTGTTTTAATGTCACCTTTGCACCATTTATAACATTTCTGGTATACAGTGGACCCCTGGATATCGTCTGGTGCGGATATCAGCCAAATCAGATTTTGGCCACTTTTTTGGCTGAAATTCTATCCTGGATTTCGGCTGGCAACTCGGAAATTGGCTGTATTGGATGTGTCCATCCGCCACTCTGCCGTGTTTGTGAGTCTGTGTGTCTGGGTGAGTGAGCAGCACTGCACATTCATCCAAACATTTCGTTATAATCCATTATTTTTTTGTGGTGGTTTATTGAGTGTGACTGCGAAATAAGCAACCATGGGCCCTAGTGCCAGCCCTTTGGTAAAGAAAGTGAGAAACACGATAGAATTCATTGACAAAACCGTGCCCCACTTCAGGCATATCTTACAAGAGACACCAGAAACAGACCTCTCTGGACAGTTTTTTTGTGTGACAGGGGTGCAGTGACTCTCAAGCTGATCCTAGTGCCAGTAAAAGACAAAGAAGGGAAGTAACCCCAGATAGCAACTTGATACCTGAAGTCCTTATGGAAGGGGATTCCCCTTCCAAACAATAACCCCAACTCCCTCTCCCTTCGTTGTCTTCTTCAGTGTGCCAACAAGAGTCTTCAATGAAGGTATATAATGTTCATTTATCATTAAAATTTGTGCTTTATATTTATTTCTCATTGTTTTCTGTATGTAAAATTATAGTTAATCTTTAAAAATTGTATTTTTTGTTAATATTTTTGGGTGCCTGGAACAGATTAATTTTATTTACATACTTTAATTCTTATGGGAAATATTACTTCAGTTTTCAGCCTTTTCGGATTTAGGCCGACCTTCTGGAACGGATTACGGCCAAAATTCAGGGTTCCACTGTATTTTTAAATATTCAATAGTGTTCTGTATATTGAAATAAACAGAATAGAGGAAATCAGCTGTATTATACATTATTTAGGTTAGTATGCTGGTCAGAGAGCCCGTCATAAGTCCAAGGCATTGGTAAACAAGTACAAGTACATCACTAAGTGAGGAGAGGCTGTAATTAAATGATTTGATATAAGTACAGTGGGCCCTCGCCAAACGTTGGCATCACATAACGTTAAATCCGCCTAGCATTACATTTTATCGCTAAAATTTTGCCTCGCATAGCGCTAAAAAACTCGCTCAATGCGATTCGTCCAAGACGCGTCTATGTGCGGCCTAAGCCAGCCTCACATGTTCCGCCGGTGGCATTGTTTACAAGCCAGCCTCTGCGGTAACATCCAAGCATACAATCGGAGCATTTCGTATTATTACAACATTTTTAGTGATTTCACCTGCAAAATAAGTGACCATGGGCCCCAAGAAAGCTTCTAGTGTCAACCCTACAGGAATAAGGGTGAAAATTACTATGGAGATGAAAGAGATCATTGCTAAGTATGAAAGTGGAGTACGTGTCTCCGAGCTGGCCAGGTTGTATAGTAAACCCCAATCAACCATCGCTACTATTGTGTCCAAGAAAACGACAATCAAGGAAGCTGTTCTTGCCAAAGGTGCAACTTTGTTTTCGAAACAGATCGCAAGTGATAGAAGATGTTGAGAGACTGTTATTGGTGTGGATAAATGAAAAACAGATAGCAGGAGATAGCATCTCTCAAACGATCATAAGTGAAAAGGCTAGGAAGTTGCATCAGGATTTAATTAGAAAAATGCCTGCAACTAGTGATGATGTGAGTGAATTTAAGGCCAGCAAAGGTTGGTTTGAGAGATTTAAGAAGCGTAGTGGCATACATAGTGTGATAAGGCATGGTGAGGCTGCCAGTTCGGACCACAAAGCAGCTGAAAAATATGTGCATGAATTCAAGGAGTACATAGACAGTGAAGGACTGAAACCTGAACAAGTGTTTAATTGTGACAAAACAGGCCTGTTTTGGAAGAAAATGCCAAGCAGGACCTACATTACTCAGGAGGAAAAGGCACTCCCAGGACATAAGCCTATGAAAGACAGGCTTACTCTGTTAATGTGTGCCAGTGCTAGTGGGGATTGCAAAATGAAGCCTTTGTTAGTGTATCACTCAGAACTCCCAGAGCGTTCAGGCAAAAGAATATCCTCAAGGCTAATTTGTGTGTGCTGTGGAGGGCAAACAGTAAGGCATGGGTCACTAGGGACTTTTTCTATGACTGGTTACACCAAGCATTTGTCCCCACTGTGAAAAATTTACCTAATTGAAAATAAATTAGACCTTAAGTGCCTCCTGGTGTTAGACAATGCCCCTGGTCATCCTACAGACTTGGCAGAGCGACTTTGTGGGGACATGAGCTTCATTAAGGTCAAGTTTTTGCCTTCTAATACCACTCCTCTCCTGCAGCCCATGGACCAGCAGGTCATTTCAAACTTCAAAAAACTGTACACAAAAGCTCTGTTTGAAAGGTGCTTTGTAGTGACCTCAGAAACTCAATTGACTCTGTTAGAGTTTTGGAGAGATCACTTTAACATCCTCATTTGTGTAAACATTATAGGTAAGGCTTGGGAGGAAGTGACTAAGAGGACCTTGAACTCTGCTTGGAAGAAACTGTGGCCAGAATGTGTAGACAAAAGGGATTTTGAAGGATTTGAGGCTAACCCTGAGAGGCATATGCCAGTTGAGGAATCAATTGTGGCATTGGGGAAGTCCTTGGGGTTGGAGGTTAGTGGGGAGGATGTGGAAGAGTTGGTGGAGGAGGACAATGAAGAACTAACCACTGATGAGCTGCTAGATCAACTTCAACAGCAAGAGGGCAGACCTGAGGAAACTGCTTTGGAGGAGGGGAGAGAGAAATTGAAGAAGTTGCCTACTTCAAAGATTAAGGAAATCTGTGCAAAGTGGCTTGAAGTGCAAACCTTTATGGATGAAAATCACCCTCAGACAGCTGTTGCAAGCCGTGCTGGTGACTATTACACTGACAATGTTGTGAACCACTTTAGGAAAGTCATAAAAGAACGAGAGGTACAGACCTCTGTGGACAGATATGTTGTGCGACAGAAGTCCAGTGACTCTGAAGCTGGTCCTATTGGCATTAACCCTTTGACTGTTTCAGGCCCCTCTCTGAAACTGTCATTCTATGTCGCCAAATATTCAAAAAAAAAAAATTATTTTTTCTTATGAAAATGTTAAGATTATTTTTCTGAGTGTTTTAGTCCAAAAAAAAATTTTTGCCATCGGTACTTACCGAGATATAGAGCCGTGAAGTTTGCAGAAAATGAGCCGCGTATGGCAACAGCGGCGACTGCCGCTCACCCGGTAAACTTTAGTTTACTTGTAATTGAAGGTTTTTTGTTTTTTTCACTATTTTATTTTTTCACATAACTTATGTGGCCTATGAGACCAAAGTAAGGTGCAATGTATATATATACACTCGTTGTATACAACACAATAAGCACACAAACATAATTATCAATATATTGTTTACAAAACTTGTTTACAAAAACAAACAATCATCCTCCTCCTCCTCCTTCTCCTCCTCCTTCTCCTCCTCCTCCTCCTCCTCCTCCTCCTCCTCCTCCTCCTCCTCCTCCTCCTCCTCCTCCTCCTCCTCTCCTTCTCCTCTTCCTTCCTTCTCCTTCTCCTCCTCTCCTTCTCCTTCTCCTTCTCCTTCTCCTCCTCTCTCCTCCTCCTCCTCCTCCTCCTCCTCCTCCTTCCTCCTCCCTCTCCTCCTCCTCCTCCTCCTCCTCCTCCTCCTCCTCCCCTCCTCCT